GAAATGTATAAAATTACAGTACTGTATTAGACTTACGGTACCTAATTTACATACTGTACAGACGATAGTTCGCCTAAACTCTCCGTAGCGTGGCACCAGGCGGCGGAAAAAATATATATAATTATAATAAAGTTACAATAAATTAAGTTAATATATATTTATATATACAGTACATAATTTATATATAATTAATATATAATTATATGTACAGTACCTAATTTATATATAATTTATATAATACTGTCCAGACGATAGAAATCTCTCCGTAGTTGGCGCTACGGACAGCGACCGAGAAGTTATAGATCTCCGAAGTGACTTGTCCCATCTGTATGGACGTTTACATCGATCCGGTGTCCACCAGTTGCGGACACGCGTTCTGCAAATCTTGCATTGATAGGATCGTGGAAACGAGGAATCGTCGGTGTCCACTTTGTAGATCTCCGAAATTCGGCATTAAACGGCGAGGAGATAAAATAGAGAAAATCAAGAGTACCGCGTCAACCCATTACGCCGTCTGTGACTACTCTCTTCAGTTCTTCTTCTTCTTCTTCGATGGTGTTTATATGGAGATTATAGCTCAATGTAGGCTCTTTCTCCGAGTAGACTTGTGTATGTGTATGATCGCTAGGCGACCGATTAGCCGGCTGTATCGAACAGCCATACGTACGCGCGGGAAATAAATGCCTTCCGGGAGGACTTTTTATGGGGAACTGGCCTCCTATTCAGTCGTTATAGGCAAGGAGAAAACCCGGAAAACTCCAAGCAGCCAGCCTGTCCGACCGTGGCGCGAACCCACGACGAACCTCCCAGTCTTTAGGGTCTGGTCACCACTACGATGAGCGGCAACGGAGACCACTCGCCCACTGGTGGGGGCCTAGATTCCACTTTTTTCTTTCTTTCTTCTTCTTCGATGGTATTTATATGGAGATTTTAGCTCAATGTAGGCTCTTTCTCCGAGTAGACTTGTGTATGTGTATGATCGCTAGGCGACCGATTAGCCGGCTGTATCGAACAGCCATACGTACGCGCGGGAAATAAATGCCTTCCGGGAGGACTTTTATGGGGAACTGGCCTCCTATTCAGTCGTTATAGGCAAGGAGAAAACCCGGAAAACTCCAAGCAGCCAGCCTGTCCGACCGTGGCGCGAACCCACGACGAACCTCCCAGTCTTTAGGGTCTGGTCACCACTACGATGAGCGGCAACGGAGACCACTCGCCCACTGGTGGGGGCCTAGATTCCACTTTTTTCTTTCTTTCTTCTTCTTCGATGGTATTTATATGGAGATTTTAGCTCAATGTAGGCTCTTTCTCCGAGTAGACTTGTGTATGTGTATGATCGCTAGGCGACCGATTAGCCGGCTGTATCGAACAGCCATACGTACGCGCGGGAAATAAATGCCTTCCGGGAGGACTTTTATGGGGAACTGGCCTCCTATTCAGTCGTTATAGGCAAGGAGAAAACCCGGAAAACTCCAAGCAGCCAGCCTGTCCGACCGTGGCGCGAACCCACGACGAACCTCCCAGTCTTTAGGGTCTGGTCACCACTACGATGAGCGGCAACGGAGACCACTCGCCCACTGGTGGGGGCCTCGTTTCCACTTTTTTCTTTCTTTCTTCTTCTTCGATGGTATTTATATGGAGATTTTAGCTCAATGTAGGCTCTTTCTCCGAGTAGACTTGTGTATGTGTATGATCGCTAGGCGACCGATTAGCCGGCTGTATCGAACAGCCATACGTACGCGCGGGAAATAAATGCCTTCCGGGAGGACTTTTTATGGGGAACTGGCCTCCTATTCAGTCGTTATAGGCAAGGAGAAAACCCGGAAAACTCCAAGCAGCCAGCCTGTCCGACCGTGGCGCGAACCCACGACGAACCTCCCAGTCTTTAGGGTCTGGTCACCACTACGATGAGCGGCAACGGAGACCACTCGCCCACTGGTGGGGGCGTCTGTGACTACTTCGGAGAAGTGATCCATTTATCGCGATTACGTGATCACGCAGAGAAATGCCAAAGGACTATCATTAGAGAGGTTGCGTCCGACGTTTTCACCGCGGAAACGTGTACGTCGGACGTTTAGCGCCGCCTTCCTGTAAGACTAGAAGTTTGACAATGGCGTTTGGAACGTCAGTAGAATCATGCTCGACGTTTTAAACGCCATTGTCAAACTTCTAGTCTTACAGGAAGGCGGCGCTAAACGTCCGACGTACACGTTTTCGCGATGAAAACGTCGGCCGCAACCTCTCTAATAACGGAAAAAAGAAAACGTCGACTCGTAAGAAAATCGTTAAATGCGCGCGATGCGGGAAGAACGTTTCCGGTAAAGGACTATTAAAGCGCCTGAGAAAGGAGAAGAGGGGCGCAAGGCGAGTGGTCTCCGTTGCCGCTCATCGTAGTGGTGACCAGACCCTAAAGACTGGGAGGTTCGTCGTGGGTTCGCGCCACGGTCGGACAGGCTGGCTGCTTGGAGTTTTCCGGGTTTTCTCCTTGCCTATAACGACTGAATAGGAGGCCAGTTCCCCATAAAAAGTCCTCCCGGAAGGCATTTATTTCCCGCGCGTACGTATGGCTGTTCGATACAGCCGGCTAATCGGTCGCCTAGCGATCATACACATACACAAGTCTACTCGGAGAAAGAGCCTACATTGAGCTAAAATCGCCATATAAACACCATCGAAGAAGAAGAAGAGGGGCGCAAAATCGTTTATCTGCTTGGAATGCTGCACCAAGAATCCTTCCGGAATTTGAAGATAATTTAATAAAGACAACACAAAATTTGAATGAACAATTTCGAGTACAAGAAACATTTCGTTGCCGTAAAATTTCCTTTTGAATATCGAATACGTCAATAAAATTTGATTACTTTTCTTTACGGACAATTTGGTTTATTTACAACAAAAGAAACTCATATTAAGATTCGTAATAAATTTTTTGTTTTAAGAATTTCGCGGAAACACGAAATAATTTGTCAAATCGGACGAAAGCGCAATGGCCGGCGGATTTACCGGTTAATTTCTTTGGCAAATGAAAGGGACTCGCCGGTTTAGAAGTTCCAAAAATTGGTTTTCTTTTCTTATAAACTTATTGTATTTTATTGTAAATTAGGTTAATAACTGGATCTATGGAATAAGGCGAAGCAACGCGCGCGCGCGTAGATAAGAGATCCCGAGGCTCGGGAACATTTTTAAAGTTAAAAGGAATTATCAATTTTGACACGAAATTTAGTAGAAAATCGGATCGATTTTATGAACGGGAAAGGCAGAATCTTATCTAGTTGCACATCTCTCCCGTTTCCTGTGATTCGGAGGATGTCGAAGTTCCCGCTAAATTGAAAACCAGTCGGAAAATGCCCGCATCGGGAGCCGACCCGATGGGTCCAGGCCCGCCGTAAGCGGGCGTGCAAGATGTGCACCGCACACGGGCGGCACGTTCAGGGGGCGACAAATCGAGCGATCGGTCACGCAATAATTAGTCATTGTCATAATACCCACCCTACTTATAGCATAAGAAATGTCTTCGCATGGAGAAAAAAATCCGACTGGCGCGCAATTACTATATTCTTATTTATATTATAGCGTTAACAGCGCCTCTATTGGCATTTATCAGAATTAAGATGCAATGCGAAACGTCTGTCGGCAGGTTGAACCATCTGGCGGGCACCCGAAAGCCAAGTACCAATAGTCGTGCTGTATGATAGAAGTTGACAGGTTTGGCGAAAATAGGGAATCCCTACAGAGCTTCCTTCTCAATTTGTACTTGTACGCATTCGAACAGTTCTATTGCATATCAAATTGCAATTATTTTGTTAATAATTCTTCTGACATGGGTCGAAGTATAATTAATGATATTTTAACTTGGTTAGGATTTAAATCTGAAGCTTAAAGACGATTCAAGTAGTGAAACAGACATTGACAGTATTGATTTGTTTAATGAAATCAATACTTTAAAGTTGCATTTTCCAGAAAACCAGTCTAATGATCCACAAACCCCATTACAATATCTTTTTACTAATGACTTAATTTCAACAGTTCCAAACACAGCAATAGCACTAAGAATATTACTTACATTGCCGGTTTCAGTTGCATTTGGTGAAAGGTCCTTTTCAAAGTTAAAAATTATAAAAAACTATTTAATTAATTAATTTATTTAAGATCAACAATGCACCAGCAAAGACTAAGTAATTTAGTTTATAGCTATAGTTTCAATTGAACATGAAATCTTAGACAGCTTGGATACAAGAAAATTGATAGCAGATTTCGCAAACATGAAGGCAAGAAGAGTTCAATTTCTGTAGATAAATATTTATATGGTTTTACACTTAAGTAAATAAAAATAACTTAGTAATAATAAATAGTTCTTTTTGTAAAGTATTTCTTTTCTTTTTTCACACCTTTATGAGACAACACTAAAGAGCCTTTCGGCAAGCTCAGCGCAGGTAGTCGTAGTTAAACAGGGGGCGGCATAATCGGTATTGCACACGGGCGTTCAAACAGCTAGCGGCGCCCCTGCTAGACAATGGGATAATTTTTTCCTGTAGTAATAAAGATCTTTTCATTCCCGTTTATCAGAATTTGAATCCTAATGTCAAATATATTTAAGTCTTTATTAGTGAGGTTGCGGTCGCAGTTTTCATTTCTAAAACGTGAACGTCGAACGTCGAGCGCCGCTCACAAGACACGACGCTCGACGTTCGACGTTCACGTTTTAGAGATGAAAACTGCGACCACAATCTCGCTATTAGCAACTCTCTTTCTCTCTGATTTTTTCATAATTAGAAATATAATTAAGTTATATTTAAGTTATTACACTTTTTCTAACTTAGCACGTATTTGAATTTGAAGCCAATTATATACGAATCCATCAGCACCATACAAGTAATTGCAGGATCCATTTTATCAACATGATTCTCTATTCGAATCCTTCTTGAGAAATCGCATTGCACATGTGTAGAAATATTTGTATTCAAATTGAACATTTGATTAAGTATGAAAAGATTGAAGTTTATGCTCTCGAGAAGAGCGCTCGTATTAAGTTTTCGTGTGAATATTTAATGTATATTTATGCAAATTATTTTAAGCTTCAAGGTAAGTAAATGATAATGTATGAAAAAGTATTTTTCTTCATAAATTTTAATACAGTAATATTACTTTAAATTGTAGTATAATATAATTTTTAATGTGATGATTTAATTACACAAATCGACGTTGTGTAAGATTTATTTGAAAATATTAATAACTGAGGAAATATAGAATTTTCATATCATTTAAAATAGATGATATTTATTGTCCATATGAAATTTATTTTTTTCATTTTTCATTCTTCGTCCTGTGCGTATTAAGAGGGTTTTTTTTTTTCATGGGTTCGACGAGACTTACAATGAGGACGGTCGAGTGGTGAGGTACTGGGCCAAATATATCCAGGACAGACTTTCCTGGAAAAATTCCTGGAGCTACTCGTCTGGATTCGACTTCGGATTCCCCAGAGTGGTAAGCCGACTCCTTATCTCCTCGGTCAATTATAATATTTAAGATAGCCGGACTACCGAACACTGGTAGTTAGCCAAGGGTTCGCGCCTTACCAACGGAATGGCAATGAGGATATTTTCAGGTTTACTTCGAGTTTAACATCAAAATAGAGGCTAGTTTCCCATAAATAATCTTCCCGAGAGGCATCCTCCTTTGGTAGATCGCCCATGTTGCGTTGCCATATGCTACAACACTATGCAGTTGTTACGTAACTGGCAAACGTTACCAAATTGTTTAAGATGTAATTGTATAAATTTCAACAACATATTCAGATGGGAATTTATTAGAAAATTCTTATTTGAATTATGTATAACATTTAGCGTGACATTTGAGCATTTGAATGATTTATAAATCTTTAAATTATGGTAATATTATCTATTCGTGATTTCGTCAAAATATGTCTAAAAGGTAAAATTATATAAAATGATAATGAAACAAGACTGAACACGAATGAAAATGAATAATATATAAATGCAGTCTGGTATTATATATAATACCAGAGTGCAATTAAATTTCTCGGTGCATTTTGAACACAAAACAAGCGAAACATGATATAGATGAAGAGACTGTTAAATTTATCTTATAACAGAGTTCTACACACACATTTCCTCTACTTTTCCTGTTTGCCCCGTTCCATCCGTTTGGAATCAGGCGTTGTTGTTCTGGTTTTCCACTTTCATCCCTTAGTGTGTTCTAGAACGGAAAATATTAGGGAAAGCCTAGGAGTGGCAGCAATTGAACAATAGAATCATTATCATTGCAAATCCTAGTTTCAATGCTTAGGGAACCCTTTCCTATTTAATTTTATATTATAAAACGCACAAGTTTTTACAAAACAAAATGTTTCGTGCAGGTTTACGATATTATTGTCCTGGATTTATTTTGGTTTCAGTCTTTGAATCTTCGAAGGTATTCGGATTGGATTTTGTTAGTCCATGCTCCTGCGTATCTCCTATCAGAAAAAACAAGCAGAAAATGTCAACGAAACTATTCAGAATTTACAAAAATTTCATCGAGATGTATTTGTGGACAATTACTGTTGCTTTTACAATTAGGATATACAATATGAATCTTTATTGTTTTAGAGTGGTTTCAATTTTCAACGATTATACTTTTGAGGCTTCTATAGCGGTTTCGTTAATATCTTTTTACGTGGCTCTACAATTCAGTATTTTGAAAAGAAAGAAAATATCTTTTCACTACACAAAAAGTAGTTACGATGAAGAGTGGAAGATGATTGAAACGTTGCAACCATTATTACTTTTAATTATTTTCGGGTTGATCGTCGTTCTGATTATAGTTTCTTTCTTTACGGGAACTCTGCCCTATGCCGAAATACGAAAACTTAATGGAACGAAGATCGAAGCATTTCTTTGTTGTTTATTGCATTGTTTATGGTTGATATACGTATGTGGACAGTTAGCATCGTTATTTATAACAGTTATCTTTGTAGCTATTTTATTTGGAAAAAGATGTGTAAATATTTCAACACAATTAGTCAAATTACACGTGGATGATTGTTATTTGAAGATAAAGTTGGAAGACATATTTCGGAAGAATTTAGAATTATGGGAATTTTTAAACTCGACAAACGAACACTTTGACGTGTTATATCCTTTGATCTACACCCATTTCATGTATGTCACGTGCTTCTTTTCGTACGGAGCTCTGTTCCTAAAGACTGAACTGAAATTTATTCTTATAATTGGTGCAGTTGGGTTAGTCATGGGAATGATAACGTTGGGATGGGCAATCTCATTCTTCACCTCTTTAGTAAGTAAAATCAGTATCAAAATATAAAATTTTTAAACATGTTAATTTGTTAAGCATTCTTAATGCACAATATAACCTCAATTATCCAAACCCTAATTAGTATAGGTTCTGTATTATATGAGGTAAATCTATAAGTTATACTAGTTTTCTTATGTTGTAATTCATAAAAGAAAGCTTAAAATAATAACATGTATTACAAAATTATCTGTTTCTGTTGTGGGAATTGCCTATGAGGTTAGGTTCATTCCACAACTTGCAGTGTCTTAATACAAGTGTATTGCTTGTTCAGACCAAGTAGTAACGCAGGACAATTAACTCAGATTTTCTCAGAGTGCAACTTAAAATGTATATCTACTTCTAAAATATGATTTGTGATACAGGATTAAGATGACATAAAAGCAACTTTCACAATACACACATCTTCCTGGTGTAACTTTCCATCAGAGAATTTTTTCCTCCACAAAAAAGTTCTAACCAGAGTTAACAAAACAAATGATGTGGGAGGACTTGGCAAGTCAGTGCTGCCATTGCTGGTGGCTACACTGTTACCTTTTATAATTTAATTTCAATGCAACACAAACCATTCATATTTATATGTAACTACAGTAACACACACTTTTATTTAAACTTTAATTAAAACTATTGTTTGTATTATCTGTAAACTATAATCATAAAACAAAAATCACAACTTAAAATCTGTCTCCACTGTATTATACACTAGATATGTTAATGACATTTTTATCTTATGGCATAAAATCTCAAACTGCTATCATTTCTTCAAAACGTTAAGTAGGAAATTTTAACACACGTCTTATGATGTAAATGCCAGGACCAGAGAAATTAGACTTCTTATGCAGGTGTAGTGATCTGTCACTTAAATTATATTGTTTTTTTTTTTTTTTTGTAAATGTTTCGCCTGTTCTGTTTGTGCTCGGGCACCATATTTTGTAAAACCCACGGGACTGGATGATTGGTTGCGACTCGTGACGTCAACCACAGAGAAGTATAAAGGGAGGTGTTTCACCTAAAAGAAGGNCGATGATTATTCTTAGCATTAACGATTTTTATAACAGGTTTTTTTAAAGATATTAGTTAACAAAGAATTGATATATTTTAACACGAATTAGCAAAGATCTCGAGCATTATGGTCTGGCAGAACCAATAATGTGAATGGGAAAAAGGCCCTGTAGTGCCCACAGGAGAAAAAAAATGTTAAATCGAAAAGAAATTTACGTTGTCATAAAAACATTTTAATTAATAGAAATAAAGCAATTGTATTTCTTATTTTTCTCTTTAATATATTTTGTATATGTAAAAAGTATTTATTTTCAGCTATATGACAATTTTATTTCAATCCAGAGATTTTCTGTTGGGAAACTACCTTTGGAATTTAAACTGAAGGTAAATATTCACGTCTATTTCTTTTTCATGGAATTTTATTGTTCTTAGTGTATTCTATTTAATATTTTTCTGTGTTAAATACATTTACAGTATACGCTTCAAAAGTATTTAATATTGATTACAGTTAATCACAGAAATTTTACACAAGCGAGCGTTTTACAATACAGTAGATCCCCTATAATACTTTAGATAATTCCGTGTTATATGAATTCCATATTGTACGAGTCACTTAGATTTTACAAATACGTGAGCCGTTCACAGCCCAGCACACGTATTTGCAAAATCAAGTGACTCGTACAACATGGAATTTGTATAACACGGAATTATCAACTGTGTTATAGGGGGTCTACTGTATAACATGTACTACATAAATAGATCATTATTATTCGTGAAGACGATTATTGTTGATTGATTTCTGAATTGAAGAAAGAATAGAGGTTATAATCCACAATGAGATTAACTAGTCGAGGTCATTACCTTAACTAAAATATTGAACTTATTACCTTTATATTTTCCAAATATTTATAACTCTTACACGCACCCCTCCTGTTTAAAGCCTGATATATTACCTGGGAATTCGGGGAATTCTATTTAGTACATAAAATTAAACAGTATCCTAATGAAAAGAGAGTATATTGTGTTACAGATGAATGACTTTATGAAAAGATTTGGAAAGATTCCTCTGGGAATATCTATGGGAGGATTCTTTTACATCAAAAAACATTTTGTAATAAGGGTAAGCGTAAAACTTTATTGAATCCGCATGCCTTCCATTGTTTTAATTACTCGTATATTTGCAGGTGGTAAGTGGACTGTATTCCATATTTTCTTCTTTTATTCAGATAAGTGGAAAGATGGAACAGAAAAAAGTTTGTGATCCTCTTCAAATTCTGAAGTTGGAGAAATTATAAATTAAAAAGCTACGAAGAATATTTATAATGAACAATGTGATTTAATAATAGGAAAAACATTTTATTATGAAATTCATTCCAATCACTGTTTCTCTTTAGAGTTAACAGTGGCCGAGGGGTTAATGGATTAAAATACTGTATACTTCATTTAAAAAGTTCTATTCATTTAATTAATATGGCTAAGACTGTCAAGAGTTATTATTTCATTCATGTAATAATGCTTCATTCAAGATTTTTTGGCTCCATCTTACAGTTTGTTATAAGAAAGTCTGTACATTGTCCGTATATTATTAATTATTATAAAATGTGGATTAGATTAGACTGTAGTGATGAGTTTTATTTAATAAAAAATTGTTAATACTAGTAACGAATGAAATCTTTATTAAGTTCTAACTCACTCGAAATACCTCACTGACTAGAACATTATATTCCCACCCCTCGGTTTTTAATCACCAAAGTTTAATGGCATAAATGCTTCTTATGCACAAGACACCGTGCCAAATTTCTTTCCTTAATCTTTATCATATTCTGAGATATTAAACAAAATAAATATATGCCAATACACGCGCATACAAACATACATATCTAGGGAATTTTCCCCTTTTCTTTTTGTTGATGTTTTCAGTTTCAGTTTTCAGTTTCTATTGTACTTAAAGTAAAACAACAATGTACAATAGAAGTAGCATATTATTACACATTGATAAGCAGACAGTTAAGGTCTAACCGTTACACCAGGAAACATAAGTATTAACTTATTTATTTTTTGTGTTATTAACATAAGTAAAATTATTTTTTGAATACGAGAAAAATTCGTTGATTACAATTACAGTACAAAACATACACAGTATGTCATTCACAAACGTAGATCTACGTGGCTACATTTAAATACTTTACAACAATGAAAATGAACAACTTTGTGAAAACACTTTGGATTGGATTTTCCTGAAACCTGATAAATTCCAGTCTTGTACTTATAACATATAAAAATGTCTTGGATTAATTCAAATCTCAATATTACAGTAGAGCGTCGTTTATCCGAATCAATTGGGGACTGGGGTTGTTCGGATAACTTATTTTTCGGATAACCGATTATGTACGAAAAAAATACATTAACCTATCCCGTGTTGAAATTTTTCTCCGTTGCGTGTCGCTTCGCGTTGAATTTTCGTCGATGTTAAGCCTAATGTAAACTTTTTAAAATAGTAATCGTGGCTATTGTATCGTTAAAAATTAGTTTTTTATTTTTTACAAACAAAATAAATATATTGAAAAATATAAAAACAAAAAAAATTATACTTTAGAAGTTATCTAGTATCAAAAACGTTCGATTCAGCGTGACACACAGTCCGCAGAAAAACGCCACACAAAAGTGACAGTGCTGCCAACTAAAACACATACACAAACATAAAAAATATTGGAGTAGCCCAAGATATAGCCAAATATTGCAGCGCCACAGCACTAGCGAAAATTTAAATTTGCCGACTGGAATTCTTTCGGATAACCGACTTTCGGATAAACGACGCTCTACTGTACTACCAATAGAAATTGTATATATAATCCTCGAGTGAATCGAAGCTCTTGTATTTCATCTAGGCCCAATTTCAGCTCGTTACATCTGTACCCAAGTTCTTCATTATATCTGGTAACAAGGTTGTTATCTACTCTGAAAAATAGAGTTGTCTCTTTCTCGGTTTCCGTATACAGAAACTTTCAAATTTTCCTCTACAATATTCCGGTGTTTAAACCTAAAAGCAATAAGTTCAGCCTTGCTTTTTGGTAACTACAGATGACGATTAAATCGGGATCTTATATTCGACACGTAGCTTAGTGGACGAAATTGATTCTGCTGTAAAATCAGCATCTTGCTGTAGTCTCCCGCAGTTTTTCACAGCCATTCACTAAATCCTCATTGGTCTCTCGGATATAATGTTTACGTGTGATAAGGAGTAGAAAATTATCTCCGCCTGCCGATGATGGTCTTCTGTTTTTTTCTCGACCGATGATGATTTCTATTGAAAATTCGGAAATTATAATGTGTTTGGAATATTTAGTGTTGTAAATCAATTTGTAACGGATCATCAAGGATTGTTTTTGGTCAATAATAAGATTTCAAAACAAGCCACGAGTTGAATTTAATGAAGTAAATTCTTTATAAAAGTAATAATTTATAAACTTAAGTGGCGATTATTGTTGTGATTATTATTATACAGAACGGAAAACTTTAATTATTTCTAATTGTTCTCATTAATATTTACTTCCTCCGGACATTCCGGTTGTTACAGTAAAAATTGTTATCTCTCTCAAACATTTAACACTCACTTCCTTCCGGTTTTTAATATAAAAAATAACAAACAAATTTTCCAGTCAATTAACAATCGAATTGTTTGACACGCGCGCTTTGTATTGTCTGGGTGTAATTCCTGTTTCTATATTCGACACAGGTTCTTTGTTGCAAGAGGGAATCGGTGTTAATGTTAGAATTACGACAATTCAACACTAGGATTATCTCTTTCCCCGAATAGTTTCTATGGGAATCTGGTCCTTATTCACAAGTGACTAAAGCCCCGAAAATCTTACGCATTCCGCCCATCGATGACACTCGACCGGCAACCGTTAGCCTGTGTTCGATGGCTTTTATATACTCCGCCATGGGTGGGTCATTGTTATGGAATTAGAAGACCGTTGCGAATTACATAGAACATTCACGCGATTACTTTATCAGTTCTCAACCTTTGATTCTTGCACCCCTTCGAAATTTCTGTTTTAAATTGTAGCATCGGCCGATCTTTCTTTTTTACCCTATCAGTACGTACTGTACAGTACCACTGCTTGAGAACTGATTTTCTACTCTTTAGAGTATGACGTGTATTTAGAGGTTTAAACTGAAATTTCACTCAATGATAAACTCCCATTCGAATGAATATTTATTTCATATTCAGTGAGGAAATTTTTATTATAATAATTTAACTGGAGTCAGACAGAAACATTCCTTTGTGTCACGAAACACAATTAATTGACGCCATTCACATACATCTTAGAGAAAGAAAACATGTAATATTTTAATTTACAATATCAATTTGTTTAAACGAACAACTCACTTGTAATAAATGTTCAAAACAAACTTTTTATTCGTAAAATATTCATTTAACGTTAATCTTATATTGTTCCTTTCACGGCAACGGAAATAAACGAGGGAATTACAAACTGTATAGGCCTACGTCATATTTCCGTAGGAAGTGACGATTCAATGGTCACCGACGTCGTAATTCGTGTTGTCAACGTAGCGACAGTAGAGATATCGAATATTAGGTGTTCAGAATTGTGTTTTATTGTTGACGATTCTTTTCTAAGGATCTTACTTCTGAGATTCGTCTGTCGATGTAATTGCAAGACTCATTAGACGAGATGAGGTGGGTTATCTTTTTGCAATTCCTATTTCTAGTGGTAAATTCTTGTCAAGAGTTTTGGAAAAATTGGGAAAATGTTTCTTGTCCGTCATCGGCAAACACCTGCTACGAATCGAAGAACTTTTCCACTATTGAAATATTCAATCAATCCTTATCCATTACGTGCGGCGAGGAAACGATTGACTCTCGTTTGATGCAATGTTTGGACGTTAAAAATGTACAAGAGATAAAATTTACTTATTGTTTTCTGTCGGGGATTGATTTTGGAATATTCACTTTGGGGTACAGAATCGAACACGTGAAGATAAGGTGCTTCCCATTCTCGTATAAAAGAAACTTCGAGAGCGCCTCGTTTAATAACATGCCCTTTCTGCGATTTGTCGAAATAGAAGGCGTGAAGACGTCGGAACTTCTAAATGTAACATTTCACAATGTTCCATCCCTGACTAAATTGGAAATTGTCATCTCTAACTTCACTTTATTTCCCAACAAACCTTTTCGAATGTTAATTAATCTTTCCGAATTATACATCACGGATGGTAAGTTAAACGTTTTACCAGAAGATCTATTTTATAATCTTCACAAATTGACAAAACTAGGATTAACTTACAATAACATTAAATCGATTCATCCACTTGTGTTTAGAAATCTTACCAAACTCGAACATTTGGATTTAGGAATGAATCAAATAAAGGATTTACCGGGTGACACGTTGAAAGGTCTTTTTAACTTAAGGACATTTTATATATATGGAAATCGTAGATTATCACAAATTCCGTCCGGATTCTTTAAGAAAATGCACAACTTGACTGAATTTAGAGCAGGGAGTTGTTCCTTTTCTTCACTCGAAGAAGACGTATTTTCTGATTTAATTAATTTGAAAATCCTCAATTTAGATTACAACCAAATTGAACATCTTCCGTCAAATCTTCTGAAAAATAACAAACTACTAACAGAGTTTCCCTGTTCCTATAATAAAATATTGACACTTCCAATTGGAATTTTTGATGGACTTTCGGAACTACAATGGTTGAACTTGAAAAAGAACCGATTAGAAAATCTTCTCGAAGATATTTTTCAGAATTTATCGTCGTTGAAGGGTCTCGATTTATCAAAAAATCGCCTGACATCTTTGCACGAAAACATCTTCCTCCCATTGACTAGATTAACGCTTCTCGATCTATCTGAGAACAATTTAACTAAAATTATCGGTGAGCATCCTTTTGGCATCAGCAAGAATCTAACTAATCTGAATTTAAATAATGCAGGTTTGACACAATGGCCGATGATAAATTGGACATTATACAACTTAACTAATGTCGATTTGTCAAATAATCATTTTGAAACAGTGAAATTGCCAATTTATACACCAAATCGCATTAAAATTGATCTGATTAACTGTAAAATCAGAACAATTTACATGGATGACAGGAAATATGGATTTGAAATGCCGACATATTATTTAAATTATAATGAAATTACAGTACTTGTAACTACGAACTGCAACAGTTCGTTTCTGCCCTTAAATCAAATATAGAAGTGGCAAAAAAAATGTTTCCAAATATAGAGAAGACGAAATGTTTACGGAGAAGAAAGAAATTTGCTGGATAATACATCGTTCGTAGTCATAGGAAATTATTGTCCAATGAATTGAGTATGTTCTATACAAGAAAATCACGTGATGGTCAATTGTTCCGGAAAGGGAATCGATAGCATTCCCGAAGTTCTCGTCTCGAGTAATAATTACATAAACGACTTGTCAAATTTCGATTGTGTGACGTGCAAAAACGTCACCCATCTACGTCTGAGTAATAATTCAATAAGTAAGATTCCGGATTATTTTCTTTTGCCAAATATTAAATGGCCGTGGTTGGACGGAAACCGGTTAACCGAATTACCGTCCGGATTAACGAACCTGATCGACGTTTCTCCGGAATTTAAGATTTACTTATCCAGAAACAATTGGAATTGCCATTGTAATTTGCTTTTTACTAAGGACTGGTTGCTTAGAAACCGGCAGAAGATTGCAGATTTCTTTCATGTTTTATGCGCGAGAAATTCGTCTTCTGTGTCTTTCCTCGATATTGTTTATAATGACGGATGCACAGAAATTCCAGAAATAAATTTGGCATCTCCAGTAAATGCTTCTTCTTCGAACGAATAGTGATTGGATGAAGTTAGTTCTGTTTCGGGATGGAAAATCGCAGTGGCAGTTCTTACTTCGCTAATGTTATTAGGTGTGATTATTGTTGCTTCCTTTGTTTATTGTCGCAGAAAAGAAAGTGCCGAATTAAAACGCTTTAATGTATAATTTTTCGTAAATTGCTATTATAGTAGACCCTCTATAACACGGTAGATAATTCCGTGTTATATGAATTCTATGTTGTACGAGTCACTTAGATTTTACAAATACGTGTGCCGGGCTGTGAACGGCTTACGTATTTGTAAAATCTAAGTGACTCGTACAACATGGAATTCATATAACACGGAATTGTCTACCGTGTATAGGGGGGTCTACTGTATTTTTCATTTGCTTCTATTGAAATTAATTTTCTATACTTTAAATAATTAAAATATCTTACGTATTAATTTTGTATACTTTTTTTGTGCATTTTGATTACGAATTATATTATAAAATGTATAATTATTGCATAATAAAGCAGTAAATTGTTGTTTCCAAAGGTAAATACCTCCCAAGACATTGGCAAAATAATAAAATAAAAGTGAAATGTTTAGGAACCAGTCCAGAGAAATCGGAACCTTCGGACCACTTGGTTACACAAAGAGGATAAGGAACACAGCACTTATATTTTTGTCTGTTTCTGCTTTTACATTCTACACCGTCTTATAGGAAATATTTTTAATTTGTTCTAATTTAAACTATTTAAATGTTTTACATTTGTGTTCAATTAGTTCGATGATGGAGATTGATAAGCGCTCGATTTATTTCACACCATACGGAAATTGATTATGATCCCATTTTACCCATCTTGAAGCGAAATGGATCGTTTTATAATAGACACTCGGTTCAAAACCTTTACAATAATTTAACTGCATGAAAAAAAGGGCCAACTCTTAAATGACAATTGTTGTGTGAACTTTTTAAGTTATGAAAAACCTAAATAAGGGCGTATGTAGTCTGGTCTTTTATCCATATTTTCATTCTAAAAATGTGTTAAAGAGTCGGAATTTCTTACTTAAGTTAATGATTTTCAAAATTTATAATATTTTATTCTAATATTTAGTTAAATTTCCTTTGGTTGCGATTTGAAAAATTTGTAAACCTATAAATTCCCACAGTCGTCAGTCTGACTTTTCTCAAGGGAAAATTTTGAGTTGAAGTAACGTGACTTCCGGTTTGTATCCGATGTTCTTATATAGTTAATCCGGGCCTCTTGCCCCTAAGCTTTCCATATTTGGTCTCGACTTTCATCTATCTAACCCCTTTCTCGAGATTAAGGAAGGACAGACATTCAGAGAGAGAACATTGGGAATTTATGTCTACAAATTGCAGCGCAGTAATTTTACTATAAACGCGATACTTCCCACGTAGTTTATACAATCTGTTGCCAAAATTTAAACACTTTATTATCATACAAAAGCAATTATTCTCGCATTTTTTACAAGATTTTTATTTAAACAAGTCATACGAAGTCTTTCGGACGTTAAGGTTAGCAACTTCAATCACACCTGGAGCCATCGCAACCTATTCAACACGGATCGCTTTTCAAATATTAATAGTAGACTAGTGTTAATTAGTAGTCGTTGGCAGGTCTCCCTTCCGGGAAGAGGTCAACTACTACTTTTGGTCGAATTACTTCACCCCCTTCTGCAACAATCTCGTCTTTCTGTGTTATGTATGCTTCAGGGTGTTAACGTTTGTGTCCCGATTAACTATATACGAACTTCCGATGCAAACTGGAAATCATGTTATTTCAATTCAAAAATTTTCCCCTGAAAGAAGTTAGACAGATGACGGGCGCGACTCCATCGCTAACGGAAAAGTATGACGTACAGGACATGACACTACAGTACTAATTTGAATGAATGTTTCTGATAGAACCATTTGACAATCCAGAATTGATTACCTAACTAAAAGCATCTGTTACTCCACCGGAACATTATACACCATATAAAAATATTTCAATAATCCGTAATGCTAATGTATTTAATTATAAAATATTGATTGAAGTTAAGCTTTTTCAAATACAGTACTAATTCTCAAGATTCATTATAAAAACAAGCACTCGAGTATTTAAAAATCTTTAATATGCACTTTAAGTGAAACAATTGTATAATGTTTATACTGTATATATAACAGAGTAAAGGTACTCATACATTAATATGCTGCTTACACATTAAAATAGCTAATAACAGATTCTAAAACTAAAATAAAATCACAATCACATGTATTGTATTAACTACTTAAACCTCTAAAAACTCAACAAATGCATTTATGAGTTTCTGATAAGAAACAGGAAGTTTTAAATTTTGAAATATTACAAATATTGTGCCTTTGTAGACATTTTTGATATACTAGTAACATTAATATCTCAAAAATTCTTATTTTATATATTCAATAAGTATATTTAAACATGGTTTAGCAAATTATCTAATAAAACTGATCACAAAAAATAGTCAATTCTGATTTTAATTCCAACCTGAGAAACTTTGGGACGGATTACAAAGTTTTTTCTGATTAAAAAAAAGTAATTCGTTCTCCTCTACTAATGACAAAGCTTTACTTTTGATAGTTTAATCCTAGCTTAAAATATTCACATTTTATCTACCAAATCTTCATACAGTAAATAACAATTTTTAAATACAAATGTCAATTTTCAGCAATTTAATTATCAAATCTTCAGTTTTTATAATCTAAGTTTTTAAAATTAATTATAAAAGACTTCTCTGTGCTTATTCATTCTAAAAAATGGCACAATTATTCTACTTCTATCAAAAATTTGTTTAAATTGAGTATTTACAAATTAATATTTTATAAATATGTACACAAATCACAGCTAAATAATTATCAAAACTGTTAAAAAGTATCATGCATTGCATATGCTTCAGAGATATAAGATCAGCAACTGAAGATCTTGCAATATTCAATTGTAATGTAAAATTATCTCTTTAATAAGTCATTATATTAACATCAAATCTAATTTATTTGGGATCCAAAATAAAAAAGTTGTTTTAGTAACATTTCCAAATCTTTCAATCCACTTTGCAATTAAATTGAAAGCAAACACAAAGAACACTTCATTTCTTAAATGAATGTGGATGAGTACAAATCAAAGATTCAAAAAATGTTACTACAACATTATAATTTTAGTTTAACTCCTAAATAAATCTATTTTAGTGTATACTGATACTTTGAAATATTATCAATCTATTCTAACATTGATTTTCACATATATTAAAGAATGTATAATGACTAGAATGGCAACCGTGGCATAGTAAATTAGTGATAAATCTGAAATATACTACTGTTCATTTCCAAGGCTGAATTTTTCCGGGCGGCTTGGCAAAAGCCGTAGCAGCTCGGCTTATCTGAGGAGACTTTCTCGTTACGCTTTGAGCAGTCCTGCTGCGTTCGCTTCCGCACCGCGAAGAGCTTCTAGATACCACATTCCTATCTAACTGCGATTGCAATAGTTGTAAATCTTCAACCGTAAAGCTATCTTTTAAGATTTTTGGTAGAAATGTATCGGAGGTATTATTACGAACATTTAACCTACTCAACGAGGAACTTCTTTGACCGACACCTTGCCGACAAGAGGGGGGTAGCAATCCGGTAATTAATCCGGTAGGGAAACGATACGATGCTAATTTTAAACCACCAGAAAGCATAAATATATTATCGTAGCCTCTCTGAACTAACGTCGAAGCAACTCGAGAGGCCAAGCTTTCGTCTTCGTCGTACACCACGATGATTTTATTTGGAACATTTTTAAAAGTTAACAAATCGTTTGATTCATAATTACATGTTCTCAAAAGCATAGAGTGAGGATAATTTTTGGCAGTGATTATGTGACACTGTCGATAAGAATCCGGATCTCTCACATCTAACAGAAGATAAGGATCAATAGCACTCTTTGGCAGAGTAGTAGACAAAGATCTCATTTCACACTTTACATCCATTTCACCAATACCATTGATTACACTTTGAAAAGTAGATCTCATAGAATCGACCGACAAAGCACTATCTACTCTGAACGGTGTATTTCTTTGTTCAGGCGAAGATTTTTGACTTTCTTCATTTCCATTACTTATAATGTCTTCCTTTTGAGCTCTTTCTTGTCTTCTCCTACCCGAAGGCAAGGATTTGCAACATGGAACTTTAGGAGTGATGCTTGCTTTGATAGGAGGGAGATTGGGTGTTGATATCTCGCGAAAGTTATCGACAAAGGTCTCTCTGGATACTTCAATCACTAAATTCACGAAAGTAGCTAATTTTATCCTCTTAAACACTTCATCTCTCTTCAGCTTGATGTCTCTCTGAGATTCTTGCATTCTTTCCAAATATCTCCTAACGCTGGCACCGCTGTCAACTCTAGGACGTACATTTTTATATTTTGTGTTTTCTGGAATGTTTTTATATATAATATCCCGCTTAATAATCCTAGATTTAGCAGACATCGTTCACCATTTTGTTCCTCGAAACGCCGAAGGAATCTAACACCACATTGATCGGTAAAATGACAAGCATGGACGATAGTTACAACAGCGCCACTTTCAAATTTCAAAAATTTATTAATTTTAAGTTTCATTTTTAAAGTCATTTTATGATTAAAATGATTAATAATACTTAAAATTTAAATAGTTTATTTTTACTATATTATAAATTATTAAACAAAGCGATTTAATATTGTTAACCATTTTTCCTAATAAGTAAACAATGCATAAAATAATTACGTAATTAATACATAAATAAAATTATTTAATTAAATTTCAAACGCCGTAATATTCAGAATAATATTTAAATTAATAATATAAATCCTAATACAAATTTACTTAATTTATTTTAATTTTAAATTAAAATCTAAAAAAATATATATAATTATATGTTAAAAATATTTTAAACATATAAAAAATATAATTATTTTAATTTAGTTTTTTTATTAATTAATTATATTATTAACATTTTACAATAAAATTTAAAAAATAATAAATTATAATTTTGATTTAATATTTTCTCTTTATTCGGGAGATAACGTAGCAGACGATTTTCAACCTTGACCGCAACATCCGCCATGTTTGCTTCGTCGGTGATTCTTTCGAAGAGATTTTTCTCTGTTTCTGCAACAAGAAATGGCCCGAAAGTAGCTGTGGTTAGTACATTTTGCTATAAAATATCACTTGCAAAGATATTTACTCGAAAATCATAAAAAAAACATTTTAAATTTATCTCTTGATCATAAGTACATTGAATGATATTACTTGATTACAACTGATGTCATTTGAAACTGTCCGAGAATCATTTCAGACGTGATATCGATTGATTCTTTCCTGTAATGATTCCTGATTGATATAAGGATAAGATTGCAAATGAGAATGACACTGTTGGTACCTTAACAGAGCTGTACAGCCTACCCATAGGAGTAAAAAATCAAGGAAATCATACCTCTATATGTGAGCCTTCAAGTGAAATATAGCCCCAAAATTTGTCTAATTCTAGGTGTTGTAGGGGTGTGCCACTAAGCTTGTCGCACGTGTAACAGACAGTTCAGGGGTGGTCAGACATTCTAATGATATTTATCGGTAAAGAATAAAGAAAAATCCATCATGCAAGCTTTGTGAGACATTTTTCTCCAAATGTGTAATTCTAACAGCACCATTTCTGGTTGCCATCTTGCTTGTGGATGTCGTGTTTGCAAGCAAGTAATGTTTTAGGCATGGCGACCAATCCTTTAACATAAATAATAAATGCATTTTCTACTGACCAAAAAACAGTTTTTACATTGAGCCAATACTATTACCTATTCTCCAAGATCTACATGTAGTTGTGCACTTTGGTGCAAGTGATGGCAAATACCAAAGTGCCTGCAAGAGCCCCACACCCCCTAAAACTATATAATATCAAGTACATGAACAGTGAAGTGGGCTATTCAAAGCCAATGTAGTCACCTGGGCTGAATAATTAAATGCAATAGCCTTGGCAGAGCACGTGGTGTGACTTTCGCTTGTGCCCTGGAAGTAGGCTGATCTCGGGAGGCTATATCTTGCAAAGGGGCACGTAAAGAGGTATGGTTCCTTTGACTTTTTTGCTCAAATGTGGGCATGCTCTACAGCTCTGTTGAGGTCCCAACAGTGTCATTCACTTCTGCATTGTGCCAGTTTCTGGACATGCTGTCAAATGATATTAAGTGATGTTAATCATGTGATATCACTTGACATTAGTTGATGTCAAAGGTTCAAAATTTGAAAAAACAAAATGCTTTAACAGACAAGAACAAGTGATATCATTTAAATCACATTAATTATTATTTTATTACATTGCAATTCAAAATTACATTTATTATTAAATTCCCTAGCATTTTATGTGTAATAATCAATACATAGAATCAGATAATATAACTTTCAATAAGTTGCTCCTATGTTAGAGTTTTCAATTAAAGCTACAAAGTTGAGTGGCCAAAAAGTTCTACACATTCTAGTTAGATTTATTTGTATATTTCCTCACCTAACATAATATTTTAATGTTTTTTCCATGGTCTGAATATCATATTTTATGCTAATATTCAATAATTGAAAAATCATCAAAGCAGTTTCTAATAACTAAAGACTGAATTTTTGTGTTTAAAATTGCAATATGTGTGCATGCATATGCATGTTAAAATGCCTGAAATATGCATTATAAATGTTAAAAGCACTCAAAGATGTCTTTGATGCACTGAATTGACTCATAAATATCTGTTTCACATGTTTTAGAAATTCTTTTAAAATTTTGAAAGCATTATTAGATTTAATTAGTCATTTCATATCAACGGAACATCATTACTGTAGATACAAAACATTATTAGATTTTTTTTACATTCATATTTTGACTTTAGAGATGCTAACATATCATGTAGTTATGTATCTTGTACATAATTTAAGCATTTGTTTTATATTAAGTATGTCTTAATGTGATACAAATTCTTGAAAATACAGAAAACTTACATATGAAATAAATTCACTGGGATTATAGATTTTCTATTTGTATAAACTGTTTTGGCTTATAGACACACAATTGTGACAATGCCGAAAGGCTCCCACCACGGGACCGAAGGGTCGACATCACATTGGTGTAGACCACAATGACACTTTGTTAGGACTGACACCACAGTGTCTTCTGTGTAGACACGCAGACCATTACATTCGCAGGTATGCGCGAGCAGTCGTGTCTGTGGAAGCGTAGGGTTGGAATGGAGACAGAGGGAGACACCCGGAAGAAGCGCACTCCAAGAGACTATTCATTTAACAAATACCCGTTTATTCAGAGAGGCTGTTTACAGAATTTAAGACTGAGGATCTAGCTTTCTTGCTAACTCAAGTAACCATCAAGGGGGAAGCTTATCATATCAAGAGAGAGAGAGCTTACAAATACCTTGAGTTCGAGTAGGTCCTTGATGTAGGTTCGTCCTCAGGCTTGTCCAAAGAGGTTCAGGATTTAATTGAGTTCATGTGCTAGTTCAAGTTTGGTTAAGTTCAGGTGCTAATCCAAAGGTTGATCTAGGAAGCGGCGATGGTGGAGAGCCCATACACATGCATAAAAGTTCACGCTTGTCGACGGGAAAAGCATTCGTCGTCATTGTCTTCTCCTGTTTATAAGGTGGTCTCTCCTGGGTTTTTCCCATAACTCAACCTGGAGATTTAGTACTTCGGGCCCAATGATCGAGTTTCACTCATTACTTCTGAATGATGCATATGAAGTGTCACTTTAAACAGGAACTAAGTCTGTGGAAAACATTTTAATCACTGAGATAATCAATAGTTTTTTCAAAATGGAAAATTAGTGTATTCCAAACAGCAAACATGTTATAATAATTTATAATGATTTTATAATAAAGGTTTCCTGTAAATGTGGTTCTCACACTATGTATTGAGCTTATGGGATTTATGGTAGGACAAAAATAAAATCAGACTTGATAAGTGAGTAATTCAACAAAATTTGGTTTATTAGGAGTCAGTTGTATAACAAATTGCAAGAAATATGAATGCTTGAACTGCCTTGTTTCATTTGTATTATATTATCAAAAAATCTAGTGATGGGTTGCATAACTTTTCTGGCAAAAATACTTATGTTTAAGAAATACTAAGATACATTAGCCTGAAGTTAAAATTGTGTATGGCACCATCAGTTATGAAATGTTATAAAAAATAACTTTTATATCCTTAATCATTATAAAAAGGTAAAGGGCTTAATTTTGAGGATGAGTTTCTAAAAATATTCTAAATGCCAATATTCATTATTCATAATGAATAAAATTTTTATTAAGTCTGACCACACTTGAGATATGACATGAACTCCTCTTGCCCCTCTATCTTTAAACATCAAGATTTGATAACATCAAATTGTCTGATAACATATTGAATAATTTGTAAACTGCATCATTGCATGTATGGAATGTTCTATTTTAAAAATATTTTATATCATATATCAGGGGTAGTGTTACCACCTGTCTGGTTTTCACCTGGACAGTCTGGGAATAGACTCACTGTTTGGGTGAGTCTATTCATTAATTTTGTCTGGGACCTGTCAATTTTTTTTTTTTTTTTTGCTTGTACAAATCGTATTCATACACGTCTCCAATATCCAATAGAGCTAAGTCATTTGTAGTTGCTTTTTCTTAATTTAGTTACTCCTACCCAAGTCTCCCTAGTCCCTAACTGTAACTGATTTAGAACTGGCATGCACTGCATGTTATTCTTTGCATTGCAAAATGACATTGCGCATACGTCAGGAACTCCTGTTTGAACAAACTCCACCTACCGTCTGGGTCAGCGATTTTGAAAAGGTGGCAACACTAATCAGGGGTGTCCAACCTTTTTGTTTCTCTGGGCCACATTAGAAGATGTCATGGAGTTTGGGCCACAAGTATATATAATATACTTGTGGCCCAATCCTTAAATATATTTGTATATTTAAGGATTAACATGTCTAGATTATAGTAATAGGTATTAACTCTTTATCACAAAAAAAAAGGATATTTTAAAAATTTACTTTTACAGATACTTTCAATTTTTACTTAGAAATAGATAAATTCATTAATTATAAAGGAGACAAAAATTTATTTGAAAAAACACAAATATTTTGTTTTATTTTGGTCTCTAATTAATAAAAAATGACAAAACACCATTTTAAAGTGCATTTTTATTTGACTAATATATTTATACAGTCCTTTTTTTTTGGGAAAAAAAGATGGTGGAATGCCCACTAGGGGGCGTCCTGGGCTAAAATATAAAGCAGCCGAAATGACAGTCACCAGTCGCAATTAGCACTGTAATTCCTGCATTGTTGCCAAATCATGACACAACCAAACATGAGCTGAGCAATATGTCACAGTCACCACAAACTAAGTTTGCAGTACGCATGCATCGTACACAAGATTTGGCACACAAGCAGGAGCAGGATCGTCTTAATAATTTTGTTGCCGATCTTCTGTGCCCAACAGAGCGATTCAACGTGGACCAAACATCAAATTTTAAAAAATTCTCTTAAAACTTTTAAAATGTATCGAAAAAAGGTGGTGGAATGTTGTTCCATTGCGTTCTATGACAAAAAAAGAGCTGTATTTATAAATAATATGTAGCCCAAAAAGTGGCCAATGTGCCAAATGAAATTTTTGACACAAAGTAGCCAAATCATGCAATGCTGGAAGGAATACTAAATAAAGCTGGAGTTGGGACTCAAAGGATTATAGACCCAAACTCGGTGAAAGGAGAGAAAGGGCAAAAGATAAGAAGTGAGGAAGGTTGGAAAATTAAGGGTCCATATTTGCATAACAGAAAGTCAATTTAACCTTTCTCACTACTATTTATATTTTGGCCTTTCTCTCCTTTCCCCGAATTTGGGTCTATAATTCTTTGAGTCTCAACTTTAGCTTTATTTAGTATCCCTTCCTCATTCACACATTTCCAAGTATTTGAAAATATTTCCTTTCCACTCAAAAATAAAATATATATAAAGGTTTACAGCTTTGTGAAACTTTTTTTTTCAGTTTATGCTGTTGAAATAAATAAATAAAATTAAATTTAAAAATTTGTCAGTTTTGTTTATATGTTTATTGGCCCGCATTGGAACTTGCCTTGGGCCACAGGTTGGACACACCTGTTTTATATCTTATTTGATGTACAAAACAGCTCTTTTGTTTGATGAAGGTTTTCTTAAAATGGCTGAAAATGTTTGTGTATTCATTAAATTTTGTGCTAGAGTAAGTACAAGTGTAAAGTGTTTTTAATCAACAGTTCCTGCTTTTGAGAGTGTTTAAATTTGATAACATCAATGCTCTTTATATACATATTACTATGGCCAACTTTTATTTTTTAATCATTATCCTTCAATGCAGCACGGATAATTGCCTCCACACCACATTCACCAATTAAAATGGCTAGAAGAGATGGAAATTTTTAGGGCGTATGACAAATCTGAGTGTATTAATTCAAGAGAAGAGATCAGCCTTTCCATGGCGTGGCAAAACCTACTCCATAAAGAGTGATAACGAAATTATATTAAGCCTTAAAAATAAATGATATTAGGGAACACGAGAATATTAAGTAATCTTTATATCTCAATAACACGTTTTGGATCTTTCTCTTAAATTTGAACATCGACCGTCGAATTAGAACAGTTTCAATCATATCTCGTGACTGATTAAGCAAATGGAACGATTCAAACTCTAAGAAGTTCGGATTTATTCAAACTTCTTGAATTCGTTGTTTGCTATTCGATCCAGCTGTTATCCTGATGAAGAACCCAGAAGGGGTTATGAAAACATTTGGTTGTTGAAAGAAAAAGTGATATGCATCGGTTACAGGTTCCGTAAGTCAGATTTATTGTATTGTCTTTCTTGAGATATTAAACGAAATAGATGCCCACACCCTAAATATCAGATTTTTGTCTTTCTTTGGGTTCAGAGGATCCCAAAATGTTGAGATTCTAAAAACCCAGAGGATCAAATGCGACACACTTATAATATTATTATAGCTAAGAAAATAAAAATTTGAAATGATTATAATATTTTCCTGTATTATTTTATAACAGCTGAAAAAATAAAATGCAATTTAAAACATATAATACAGGTATCTCTTGCTTTATATGATTTTGCTTAATGCAGGATTTGATTAATGCATGAAATTAATTGCGGGAATCCCTTTATATATACAGCAGAAGTTTTAATTTATGTGCTTTACCAGCTGTCTTTACTTAACATAGATACCATATTTTGATTAACACGATTTTGATACATATGGTAGATTGAGGGATTAATCAATCATGCTAAACAAGGGATACCTGTATGTATTATTAAATATTGTTTCATTATGAGTAACATATCATATATATAATAAATATTATTTCATATTATGTTTTAATAGAATGCTCAGATTGAAAATTTCATACAATTTAAAGCAAAATTTTTAATTTTTTTTAAATATGTAAATCTGTTTCAAAAATTTAATTTTTAAATATTAAAATTTGTATTAATGTTTCAATCTTATAAATCTTTCAATAAGAAAATAAAACATTGTTTAATCTAATTTTGATTGATCATAAATGTATGCATGTATCTTTAAAATATATATTCTTTAACATTTTTTAGAGACAGAGTAACTTTGTAAGATGTCATTTTTTTTATTATTACATTTTTTAGGTTTTATCAGGTAATGGTGTTTTTGATGGAAGTGAAATACACGAATCAAGTGCGTAAGTAAAAGTTTACTTATTAATAGTAAGATATTATAAATAAAGGACAAATGGTTAATTTAACCCCTTAACGCCCACCTGTCATTAATTATGATGTAATTAAGCATAAAAAATACATAAAAAATACTTAAAACTTAATCCTTATTTAGTCTCGACTTTCATCTATATAACTCCTTTCTCGAGATTAAGGAAGGACACAGACAGACAGGTGAACCACAGTCAGAATTTATTGGTCTACAATTTTTTAAAATTGCAGTGCAATAATTTTTTATAAACGCTATACTTATGAGAGCATACATAGCTTGTCCGAAAAGTAATGCCAGTGATTGTACTGTGAAGCGAATACATGTCACAGTGCACTCAGAGCAGTGGGGGTCAGTGGAAAGAGGAGTCAGGTTAAGCAAGCGCAGTTGTTCAATCACCTCCGACCATCTGAAGAGGCATTTTCCTGAATCTCGTTTTCATCTCCCGTGCAAGTTGCAATGCAGCACTCAATTAAGCAAAGGATTGCCATCAAGTTTTGTGTGAAACTTGGCAAGTCTGCAATGGAAACTTTTCCCACGATAAAGACGGCCTTTGGTGATGATTGTTCATCAGAACGCCAAGTCTACTGGTGGCACAAGGCATTTGTTGAAGGCTGTGAAGAGGTCAGCGATGAAGCCCGCGCTGGAAGGCCATCAATGATCACCACTGATGAAAATGTCACACGTGTGACTGAACTCTTGAACTCAGACCATTGTTTGAGTGTTTGTTTAATGGCACAGACATTAAACATTCCAAAAAGTACCGTTTACAAGATTGTGACAAACAATCTTCAGATGATAAAAGTGTGTGCAAAGCTGGTGTCCAAAGTGTTAATGGATGACCAAAAATCAAGTTCCAAAGTTCCTGACACGTTTCAACTTGACATGATTTTTGGTCATCCATTAATGTGTGAAAGTGACCCCCCACTTTTTAGACATTGTCATCACAGGTGATGAGTGTTAGGTCTTTGAGTATGATCCTGAAACAAAAAGGCAAAGTGCCGAGTGGCACACCTCAGCATCCCTTGTTCCAAGAAGGCCAGAATGAGCAAGTCAAAGATCAAGACAATGCTCATTCTGTTTTTTTTTTGACATCAGAGGGCTTGTCCACCATGAATTTGTACCACATGGTGTAACCGTCATTGCCAAATTCTACATGGAAGTGCTTGAGACTCAAATGAAGGGTTCATCGTGTCTGGCTCGACATTGCAGACAATTGGAAACTTCATCATGACGACGTGCTGGCCCACACCACCTTCCTTGTGACTTGCTTCCTGGCCGATTCAAAGGTGCCAACAGTTCTCCAGCCACCTATAGTTCTTACGTGATTCCCCCTGACTTCTTCTTGTTCCCGCACTTGAAAACACCCATGAAAGGACATCATTTTGGGACAGTTGACAAAATCAAAGAGGCTTGTACCAAGGCTCTAAAGGACATTTTGGAAATTACCGTAACACCTTTGATGCCTGGAAATCTCGCTAGAAGTGATGTATTGACACAGGAGGAGCCTATTTTGAAACCTTTTAATGTATTGTACTGATCGGATCAATAAATGTCTTCTAATCGACTCACTGATATTACTTTTCGGACAAATCCTGTAAGTCTCATGTAGTTTATACAGTCTGTTACAAAATTATAAACACTTTATCTTCACTTAAAAGCAATTATTTTTGCATTTTTACAAGATTTTTTTATGTAAACAAGTCATATGAAATCTTTCAAATGTTGAGGTTAGTAACTTCAATCACACGTGAGGCCATCACAACCTATCCAACACAGTCACTTTTCAAATATTAATAGTAGACTGGTATTAATTAGTAGTCATTGATCATCCTCTTGTCAATGACTGCTTTTGGTTGAATTACTTCAACCCCTTCTGCAACAGTGAATGAAACAGTTTGTTAGTGGTAACATTAGAAAAAAATATATCTTAATTTTTTTAAGATTTTGTATTTTCAATTAGTGTCTACTTGACCAATGAAATTGTTCCATTTCATACCATCCAATTATTGTGATAAACATGACAATGGTAGACTAAAGTATGGTTTTTGTTTTAATATTTGTTATATCATAGTATTTGATTTATATAACTACAAAAGTTATCTAACATAAGGGTTTATGACACTAACACAATTTAAAGAATTTTTAAAATGTGTTATATTGGGCACTTGGTATGATAAACCCTTTTGTAAGATAACCTTAACAGTTATATAAATCAAATAATATAATATAATATAATAATACATACTGTTAAAATATAATTTACATTAAAATTATTTTGTATGTTAAAAGATGGAATAAAAGACAAAATAAACCATACTTACACTACCATAAAATGATTGTATACATTATAAAACCTAAACTGTTCTAGATCTCACTGTATATTATAAATGGCAGCACCAATTTACATATTTGTTTAGGTAGTTCTGTACATAATAAAAGATGATATAACATTTATTTTACATTATTAATTGCATTTATGTATTTAATATTAAAAATAGGTTTAATAAATTTTTTTTATTTTTTAAACTAAATAAAGGAATGCAAATTTTGCAAATGTAGTATGTTGTAATTTGCACATGATAATATAGTTAGTCTTAAAGACAGATGTAAATGTATAAGTGAAGATGTTAATTTCCAACTGTAAACCTCTCAAATGTCTTTTTAGTACAAGTAATATTGATTAAGTATCTGTGACTTTGGCATTGCCAATGTAGTCGTCACACTTAATTTACAGTAACCTGTCCGTTAATTACAAAATTAAACACTAATGAGAAGTTAACAAAAGTTAAAAAAATAATTGAGAATGAATAAAAAAGTGTCAGTGTGAGAAGTTATTTATACTGGATAGGGCAAGTTCAATATCCAGGATGGTAGACTCATGCCACAACAGCAAGAGTGAAATTGTGCACATTTTTGTTTCTGATCACTTTAAATAAAATTAAACAGTAAAATTCATAAAATTGGCTCATCTGCATTAAATAAGCTTCAAAATGATGTATAAAATGTAAATGTAATTTGTATAAGTACCTTAATAAATTTGAAATATATTTTCCTTAGCATATTATATATACTGTACCTGTATAATAAATGTGTTTTTTATAAATTACATACTCACAAATTTAAAAGATATTCTTAATTTTTTAATCAAAAAAGAACTTGTTTTATAAGAAGCTTGCTAGTATTAAAAATAATTTATGGAAAGACTTTCAAACTTTTAGCTTATTACCAATTCCTGATAGAGGCTAAACATTTTTAGAGTACTGTATTTTCATTATTGATTTTAAGAAACATTTAATTTTAATATTTCATTAACATTTTCATTTGAAAACTTAAAATTAATAAACTGGATTTTGGTTTTAAAATGAAATTAATTTAATTTCTAGAGGTGAAATAAAATTTTTAAAAAACTTGTTATATCTTCATGATGATGATCTGATGATGATACACTCAGAAGTTTAGAAACATTTAAAAAATATATGTTTATATATTTTTAAAATGTTTTATATTTTAGTTAAATATAAGTTTGGCCATGAATAGAGCAAAATAACAAAATAATAATTTATTAATTACGTCAAAATTACAAAAATTACTTTTGCATAAAATAAATGTGTATTGCTTATAGGCAAAATATAAATGATTTTATTAATTGAACTTTTCAGTGTCTTATCACATTTAACACGAGGAAAAGCAGAACCTCTTATTTATGCTCCTGATGTAAATCAGTTTCACGTAGTTAATCATTGTGTTGGCGAACCAAATACAGCTGATACAAGGTAAGAATTCTGGTAAATTTTAAATATATATTAGTATTTACTTTAATTAAAGGAAAATATGATGCTTATAAATAAAATATTTGTAATATATAATAATGTAATTCTTAATACATTTTTTAAATAATTTTTTCACTGCATGCTAGATATTCATTCAGTATGAAATTAATTTATTGAATTAATGCTTAAATAAATTTTTGCTCATTAATGTATGTGATACTTTCACTTAGTTTTTATTCAGAAAAAAGCATTAGAATATTAATTCATTTGCCTTAATTTTAATTTACAAATAATATCCTGTATTAATGAAAATTTTCTACTTACTGTTATTTAGAAATTTGAATTTTTGTTTGTTTGAGTGAGAAAGAGTTATCCATATGTTAAAAAATTATAATCTGAAAATAATAATTTCTCAATAATATTTTAAAAAACTTAAGTATCAGGTAACCAAAAACGTTTGTGTGGTTTTGTAGTTACTATAATAGTTTAAATATTAATTATGTAGTATTCCTTGTAGATGGCAAGTTACTGATATTATTATTACTATTCTAAATTTAGACTTTCACAGCAATTTGTTTAAAGAGTTTTAACTGTAATTGTCTATACTAATATTATAAAGAGGTAATGTTTGTAAGTAAGTAAGTTTGGATGTAGTGGGTAATCTCCGAAACTACTCATCCGATTTCAAAAATTCTTTCACCAATATTTAGAATGTAACTTCAGGGTGGACTTAGGCTGTATATTATTCCATAAACATTCATATAAATTAAAACATATTATCTAGGGCTAAGGCTTTTATGTCCAACAGATGGCGCTACGAGTACAATGCCCTAAGTTTGCTTTTCTGTGAGGATGAACTAAAGCAGATCATCTTCTATCTATCTATATAAATAAAAATGTAATGTTCGTTTGTTCCTACCGATTCCTTTAAAATTTTGACACAATGCTGCATTCGAATGCGCACGTGTTTTATATATTGATATACATGTCGAAATTTCCCACACTGGGGGGAGATGGACAGGGTTAAGGCTTACAGTAAAGAACTCTGCTTCTATTTATACTATTTTAGATGCGGTTTTTTGCGTTTTTGATTGCATTTTAATAGGGTACGTCAAGAGAATGTACACTAAGAAGGGATTTTTCGAAAAATCCCCTCCAGGGAAAGTGTTATACATTTATAATAGATACATTTTGAGCCACAACAACACGTGGCGGGGTCTGCTAGTTTACAATAAATGGGAAAGTAGTTGTCAAAATGTCACTTTCAAATAAAGTTATTAGAAGATGCCCTGATCTTTTTTTCTTTGTTGCTTACTTTGGGATCAAATTTCACAAGTTTTACACACTGTATAGTGAGTATTGTTATTTCTAACAATTTTACAAAAGGAACAAACTTGAACGAAGTAACAATAGTTTGGATGGACTAGTGGTTAAGGTGACACTTTAACTGCATAGCCATCTGGGGGACCCAGGAGCTCTGGGAACAAGTGTTGGGCATTTTTTGGTTGACTAATCCAGGGGTCACCAGTATTCTTGATTATACTGTATCTTTCTTAGATTAGATTGAACTGTGGCCTACTGAGCCACAGTTCAATCTACGGCCTGTGAAGTCAATTCATCTGGCCCACCACTGCACTGTGCTACAAATGAGCTAAAATATAATTATTTATATGGAAATATTATAGATGATAGATAAACTTACACTTATTTTAATTTTTTTCTACATAGTTAGTAAAAATGCAATATTGGTCCAATCTCATTTTGCATCTGATAGTAATAAATTTTAGGAAAATCAGTGAAATAAAAAATTTGGTGACTTGTTGCGACTTTGGATATCATAGTTCGTTTTGTGTTTGTTTATTTAATGAAGTTTCTAAGAAAAGTGATATGAGCTTGCTGCAATGATTGTGCTTGTGTATTGGTAAATAAGTACAGTGGGTGATTGGTTAATGAACACTTTTGAAAAAGATTTTTATGTTTGGACAACGAACACCTCACAGAACAAACACAAGAAGAAGTAGCATAAAATAATGAATACCAATTGGTCTTCCCTTGTCTTCAGGCAACAATTCAAAAATTTTCAGAGTGTGGGAGATGTCAACATTGACACTCAACTCGGTATATACTGATTGGATAGTATTCCTTGAAACTTTGAAACTCTTCCTTGTAATTCCAGACTTTTATTTTTCTGACAGAAACAATTCTTTTATAGTATTCGCAAGACTGTCGGGCAGGCACTCATTAAGTTTTGTGTTGGTTTTTATTTTCGAAAGGTGAGAGTATAATAGCAAAGGTAGAGAGTGGGCAGACGATGTCTGATGTTGCTGGGCAGTATGGCTTGAATAGGTCTACAGTAGGCCACAGTTCAATCTAATCTAAGAAAGATACAGTATAATCAAGAATACTCAAGCAGCTAAAGGAGTAACAAAAATCACATCAGAGAAATAAAGAACATTGAAGAGCTCATAATGGAACCTGAAATGGCTCTGATGACAGAAGAATGCCAAGAACTCTTGAATGAAGAACGCCAAGAACTCTTGAATGAAGAACGCCAAGAAACTTGGCAAGATATGTTTTCTTCTGAAAAAGATTAATGCCAATATCTGCTATTAAAGATCTTTTGAAGAAGTGGGAGGATATCAGAACAACGGTCTTAGAATGTCATCCAAACCAGGTTGAGATTAATAGGCTTGGGGATCTCTACAATTACAATGCTCTTATTACTTCTGAAAAATCTTGAAGAGAGAAAAGCAATCGACATTAGACAGATTCTTTAACCCTTTCAAACGAAAAAAACATGACTGTGAATATATGTATTTTTATTATTACATATAAATAAATGTAGTAAGAAAGTATATATTTTTTATTTTTGGGTCTCCAGAATGAATTGATCAAATTCCCATGAAAACCTATGGTAAATTGATAATCAGTTAACAAACAATTTGGATAACAAAGTCTTGGAATGGATTATGTTCATTAACTCACTGTATGTTGGTTCTCTTTAGTTTTTGTGTATTCAGTGTACTGTATTGAACAAAATGATTATGCGGCCTACGCTTGTCAGTTTCTAAATTATGTGGTCCACTGTGAAAAAAGTTTGGTGACCCCTGGACTAATCAATCATGACTAATGACTAGTATCCAGATTTTGGGTACCGCACTTACTCAGTTTTTGAAAGGGACAGAGTGTAAACAGATAAACTCCATTGGTTTTAGGGTAGTAGGCTCACTCATTGCCAAATTGTTTAGCACCCAAATGCACTCAAAATGCAAACCTGTCCCAAAATGGTGATTAGCACCCAAACTACATATTTTGCACCCAGCTTTCCCCTTTTTTACATTTTCAAAGAATATGTTTACAATTTTTTTTTTTTTTGTTCATTCACTTGAGGGGAAAAACAAATTTGTTAAACCGGACCACATATACTGAGGAAAAAAATACGATAATTAGCTTACTCTCTTCTTTTGTTGAGAGAAAAGGTGTGAAAGGAAATTTTCTGGACTAAACAACTAAACTTTAGGGTTGTTCTAAGAATGTAAGCAGATTCACTGAAATTCTGCAACATGTGTTTTCTTTTCTAAAAAAAAGAACAATCTAGAAAATTCTTTATTGACCCTGCCTTGTGAGCACAACAGTTCCAATTTCCTTTGTTTGGTGTCAGCAACATTAGAAAACGGCAAATTGTCTGTATCTAAACTGAACATTTTAGCAAATAAGTTTAAAGATGAAGGCATATGCACAGATGGAAAAGTTCTTCACTGTTCCATTTGCAATTATATGATTTTGATTGATGTTAAACACCAAGAAACAAAAATCATGTGACATGTGAGTTTGGAAAAGCATAGAGAAGGCAAACAGAAAAGGAAGAATTTCAAGCAGACATTTATAGGAGCCGCGTTTCAAAGAGGAGAAGAATCTCAGAAGGCAAATAATACATTTTATGCAGATTAATGACTGCTCTTTTGCAGGCAAATATACCCTTATATAAGGTAAACAATCCAGCCTTTAAGTAATTTCTCCATAAATATACAGGAAAGCTTGTCCCCAATGAGAACATGCTTAGAAAAAACCATGTGAAACCAATTTATGATCAAACCACATCTAAAATCCTGGACATTGTTGGAGACAATCCTGTAGTGTTCATACTGGACAAAACAATGGATTCCTCAAAATGGTACGTGCTGAATGTTCTTGTTGCACCTCTGACAAATGCTATGTACAACCAATATTGTTCAAAATGTACCAAGTTAAAAATACAAACTCAACTACAGTGTCCCAAGCTTTCAATGATGTTTGTGTCAAGTTGTGGCCAAATGGTGTCCAGTATGAAAAGGTTTGGCCTGTTGTTACAGATCAAGATCTTACATGTCGGCATTCTCATATTTGAAATACATCTAAACAACCTAAAGCATATGATTTGTCTTGCCCATGTCCTACACCGAGTATGTAAACATATTTGTGTAGAATATAGCAAGGCCAATGACTTTTCAAAAATGAAAATGGTTCTTCTCAAGTGCCCTAGTCGGGAGCACTTGTACAAAGACATAACTGGGCTGCCATTACCATTCCAGTGGTCACTCATTGGGGTCTTGGATAAACACTGTGGTATTCTACTGCAAGAACTTTGAGAAAATCAATGCGTTTATCAACAAACTTCCTTATGGCACTTCTGCAGCCATTGACAGTGTCAAAAAACTGGACACTGATCCAGTAGTGACTACAGAACTCTACTCTGTGCATTTGTACAAGTTATTGGTGGATAAAATCAATGAGCTGGAAAGATGTGGAACTGAAATGTGGGATCAGTGGAATGTTGTAAGTCAGGTGCTTGATTGTACTGGACAGTTTTGCCCTGGACAAACTCAGATCTAGTTTATCAAAAATACTGATTTGAAAAATATTTTGGATTTTGCACTGAACTAGCATGTGAGTAAAAATGAAACCTGTCCCCTTAGTCTCAGCCGACGTAGAAAGATTTTTTTTCTATATAAAGACATTTATCC